GTGAGGGTGATGGTGGTGAGGGTGATGGTGGTGAGGGTGGTGGTGGTGGTGGTGATGGTGGTGGTGCTGGTGGGGGTGATGCTGGTGATGGTGGTGATGGTGATGGTGGGGGTGGGGGTTGTGTTGATGGTGGTGGTGGTGGTGGTGGGGTGATGGTAGCGGTGGCGGTGATGGTAGCGGTGGTAGTGGCAGTAGTGTTTCTGTTATTTTTCAGCCCGTCCCTCCCTTCCTAGCCTTTCCCCAATCATCAGATTTAGAGGTAGGAGCACCCTAGAAATCTGCTGCCTGGAAGTCTTGGTTCCAGCGCTGAGGTCTGGAGAGGCCTCACCATGGGGTTGGACCCCCCCTAACATTCAGAGAGCCTCTCGGGGTTTGTAGTTGGCCCTACGCCACGCCACTCCCCAATTCACAGAGATGGAAACTGAGGGAGAGGGCAGCTGACTTGAAGGGGCCTGGCTTCGTCCTGGGGCTTGGCCGCAAGCCCCCTGCGTCGCCTTGGACAAGTGACTTTCTTCTCTGGGCCTCAGTTTCCTCATCTGGGTCAGATGGCTCCAAGGTCCCCGCCTGTTCTAAAGTCCACAACGTCGGGATTCTGGACCCAGGTGGTGGAGCCGGGAATGGGCAGTCGCCAGGACGGCGCCGCCCGGCATCTTAGCTCTGTCTCCTGGTCCCCAGGGTCTGCGGTTCCCTTCTCCCTACGCCTCCTTCTCCGCCCCCTCCTCCCACTCCGCCGCCCTCCTCCCCGCTCCCTCCCTACTCTGCCCCCCTCCTTCCCCCGCCCCCCCCGTTACATAACTGGGCTCTCAGAGCAGCCGAGCTCTCGCGAGATCAACAGCCTCGCCCCGCCCCCCTCTTCTCCCTCCACGTCCGAGGGAGCTGGAGGAGCGGCGAACATGGCGGAGCGCAGGAGGCACAAGAAGCGGATCCAGGTAGTGAGGCCGGGCCTCGGGCCGGGGCGGGGGCCGCGGCCGGGCCCGGGTGTTCGGGCGCTCGGAGGAAGGATGGGGAGCGGGAGGAGGCCGGAGCCGGGGGCTGGGGCGGGACTTGGAGGTCCGAGCGGGCTGGGGCTTGGGGTTGGGGGGGGCGACTGTATGTGGAGGGGGGGCGTGCGGAGGGGGGCGTGGGAGGGTGTGCGTGCGTGTGTGTGTGTGTGTGTGTGTGTGTGTGTGTGTGTGTGTCTCTGTCTCTGTCTCTGTCTGTGTGTGTCTGTGTCTGTGTGTGGCGGGGGGCGCCGTGTGCGGGCTGTGTCCGGCCGGAAGGGGGGCGGCGGCGGCCCTGCGGGCCGCGGTCACGCGTGGCCGTGGAGCTGGGTGCGGGGCGGCCTCGCTGCCGGAAGGCGCTTCTTCCCCTCCCCCTGCACACGGCCCGCGGGGGCCTGCCCCGCGTCCTGCTGGTATCGCCCCCAAAGCAGTGCGGAGCCTCGGCGTGTGCCAGGCCCCGCGCTGGGCTCCGCCGCCCCCGGGGAGGAGGGCACGGAAGCCGCAGGGCCTCGTCTGCCCGGGGGAGCCCCTCAGCCGCACCCCGCAGTTGGTCGCGAACGTTGCTGCGTCTGCCTCAGCGCGGGTGGGTGGGGTTCAGCTTGGGGGCCTTAACGTACCACCCTGTCCTTTTCATGGCCTGCGTTCCTCTGTCCTCTGGACCCCATTTCCTCGCCTCCTCTTCTGCCCCCCTCTTTTCTCAATTACCTTGGCACCTGGGGGCAAACAAACGAGGGCAGTGTTTTCCCGGATACGAACAAGGACTCTGTGAACATGTTGAGAACATTTTCCTCCTTAAAATATAAAGTATGCCTATGTCAACAATATGTATTACATGGGACAGTTTTTCAACGTTAAAAAACAGTCTAGTGTTCCATATCCCGTGTCTTGTCTTCCTGTCGCTATTAGAGTACGTGTTCTGTAACCAGATTAATTTGGAAATAAGGTAGTGAGGTTTACTTGTATTAATAGTATCACCTGGTGTGTAATGTTGCTAGAACCATCAATTAGTAAGGTAGGGGTGTGTGTGTGTGTGTGTGTGTGTACACACATGTATGTCATAGCAGTAGAGAAGATTTGAGTCACAGGAAATTTGTGTTCCAGAATGTTTTCCTTTTTGCTTATATCTACTCCCTTATAATTTAATACGTCTTTTTCTGCATGAAGTGTGTTTGCGATTTTATTGCCTCAGCTTCCCATCTATATGAAGTATGTATATTATGAACTAAAATTGATTTTAAAATGTGATTTTTTTGAATCACTTTTAAAAAAAGGTATACAGATTGAAGACTGAGAAAGGCTTCTTGAAAAAAGTGAGACCTGAAGGAAGCCAAGAGGTGGAGATGGAGAGAATTCCCTGCATGAGGTTGTGGGAGTGAAAATGCTGGAGACAGAGTTGTCTTGTGTGAGGAACAACAAGGAGGCCAGAGTCACTAGGTCATTAAGGTGTAAGAAGACTGGAAAGTAGGAAGGATCTACATTATGAAATGTGTGTGTGTGTGTGTGTGTGTGTGTGTGTGTGTGTATCGATAATAAACACACACATAAACGTATTGGGAGTGGTGAAGGAAGATAAATTTGATTTATGAGTTGAGAATAGACAGGAGTGGGGTGAGTTGAGGCTGGGAGATCATCCAGCCTGCTATTATAGTAGTCTAGGGAACAGCAGAGGAGAGAAGGGGTAATATGTAAAATATTTGGAAGGTAGAAATCTAACAAAGATAGAAACCTAACAGAGTTACGACTGGGGTCAGTAAATTATGGTGAAGTATGTTCATAATGTCTCAACTTTGTCACAAAATTTTTGGTTGAGGCAGTGTTCTGTAGGATATCCCTGTATATCTTTTTCTCAGGACTAGTGTTATCTGTCAGAAACTTATGGTTTGTGTGTTTTGTTTGTTGTTGGGTTTTTTGTTTTGTTTGCTTTTGGCAAAAGAGAAAGGCAGCACAACTTTTTAAATTCTTGTTTACTCTTGTGTGGATACTCAAAGCTATTGTTTTGTGTTCCTTAAATATGCAAAATTATTTTTACAATTTCTTCTGTGGTAGTTCTTAATATTTAAAAAAAATAGTCCTTTTAAAAATATTCCCAATAAAGTATTATCATTCTAACAGAACTCTGGCCATTTAATGATTATGTTCTTCTTATATAAAATCCTTTTTATTTAAATAAATTTGATTGAACTGGCATGGTCATAAATTGTGCTAGTGTTTACTCTTTTGTTGCCCTAGTTGAGTGTTTTCTTTTTCTTTTTTAAACATAAAGAATCTAACAGCAGACAGTTTAGTAAACCAGTAAATTTAAAACAAGTATTAACTCGGGTGTGGTGTAGGCAGTTAGCTTTGTATCCACTTTTTCTCCCAGTATTTCAGACAAGCAAGTAAATGTGTAGATGAGGTGATTAGAAGTGGATGTGGCATACTGGCAAATGAACACACATACATTAAATTGGTAGGTCTAGAAATTTTCTCCAACTGAGTTTCAGTTTCATCGTCTTTAAAATGGAATTAGGATAAATTATCTTTAAGATATTTTTCTAGCTTAAAGATTTTGTCCATCTAAACTTCATTTCTGTGAGAATTAGCTCAGTTTCCAGATTTGTAGGATCATCTTGAGGTTTTACTATCTTCATACATAGTGGACTCATGGGACCACAATGGTTGTGTTGTTACAGGATTTTTACAACTGTGTCCTGCATATGGTAGGTGTGCGATTGATAGATTTTGGTTAAATGAATTGGGGTTGTCATTATCCTTCCCCCCACCCCCCATTGAAAGAGTTGGCTTTAGTCAGTACAGGCCTGATCAAATCCCAAGTTTGATAACTTGCGTAGTTCCCGCATAGTGAAAAATTCAGTTCTGTGCCTGTGCATCTTCCATTTCCTCATCTGTAAAATAAGGGTAATCATGCCTTTATTACCTACCTCATTAGGGTTATTATAAGTCTCTAATAAGGTGGTGTTTGTAACACACTTTGCAACCCTAAAAGCACCACATAGATGTCAGTTGTTGTCATTGTTACTGTTATTATTGTTTCTTGGTCTGGACCTATAATTTCGTTAGTGTAGAAAGCTCCAGGGGAGGAAATTCCCTCTTAGAAGATTGGCGTTGTTTTGGAATTTTTTTAGTATTAAAGAGCTGCCTTGGGGCACTGTGAGATTGAATGATTTGCCTTGGGTCACATATCTAGTATGTGTTAAAGGCTGGTCTTCCTGATTCATGAACGTGACAGTCAACAAACATAAACATTTCCATATATAAAGACAGAAAAAAGATGATTGTTTATTAAACTGTGAAACTACCATGTGCAATTTGGTTTTATAAAAGTGCATGTCAGTTTTAACATGATAGTACCAACATTACCTTGCTTTGTCTTTCTCTTCCTCTGAACATCGGCAGTCTTTTGTCTATTTGTGACGTATTTCAGTGACATTCTTTTTTCTTTTTTTGCATCAGTATCACTACTTCTCATTCCCCTGTGACACTTTAGTCTCCTTCAATTAAAGCCCTGCCTTAAAGCAAGTAATTATAGAGTCAAGCAAAACAGATTAATGTTGTGTTTGTCATGTCTGAAGATGTTCATTTCGTTCTGTAACTGTAGTCTGTCACCCCTCCTCTGAAGGATTGGCAGCATACTTCATCATCAGTCTTCTTGAATTCTAATTGGTCAAAGTCTTTCAGACGTTGTTGTTTTCAGTGTACAAATTGTTCTGGTTCTTCTCACTTCGCTTTGCACCCATTCGTACACGTCTTCAAAGAGTTCTCTGAGTTCATCCTTTTCCTCATTTTTTATGTCTCACTAATTTCCATTACTTTCATTTACCATTATTTGTTCCAACATTCCTCAATCAGTGGGCACCTATGTTGTCCCTAGTTCTTTGTGGTAACAAAAAGTACTGCTATAAATATTTCTGCAGGTATGAATCCTTTCCCTCTCTCTTTGATCTCTTTGGGGTATAAACCTAGTAATTGTATTGCTAGGTCAAAGGAAATGTACAATTTAATGACTTGGTGTATAATTCTAAATTGCTTTCCAGAATGGTTAGATCCCTTCACAAATACATCTGCCTGACCTCCCACAGCTCTTCCAACAATTGTCATTGTACTTTTTTGTTCCTTTGCCCGTCTGACAAGTGTGAGGTAAAATCTCATTTGTTTTAATTTACATTTCTCTTTAGTGATTTGGAGCCTTTTTTCTTATGGTTGTTAATAACTTGCATTTTTTTCCTTTTTTTTTTTTTTGAGAGTGCTTGTTTACTATTTCTCTATTGGGAAAATACTGATTTTTAAGCGAAGGCCGAGAGAGACAAGAAGTAAATCAGTGGCAGGTGTAGGACAGTAACTCAATTTTCTTGACTCTTTTACTTTTATGAAACAACCAGTGCACCAGCCTGCTGCTGTTTTCAGTGCTGTTTTCTTTGCCCTTTCACCCCAAATTGAGGGCTTCGTTATAACAGTTTATATTGTTAGTAGATTTGTTTAAAACCACAAATATTTAAATCACTAATCAGATTTGAACTGACCATCTTCTTACAGAAATTTATCCTTATTTAATATTATAACTATGCTATTCATAATTCACTTCATATCTATTTGTCCTCAAACTTTCACTCAGCAGTGAGGGCTTGTTTCTAGATAAAGAGATTTGGTGGGAGGTAGTGGAGCTAGTCAAGATCAGTTTTTCTCCTACATTTGTATACTTAATACGACATTTGTAGAAATACAGTTCCTTAGACTGTTTGCTCAAAATCTGTAAACTGACTGAATGTTTACTGCCATTGATTAGAATGATTTTCCTTGCCTTGATCTTTTGCTGACTTGTATATCTTAATTGATCCCTGCCTTCTTATCCTGCACAACTTTTCCCATCTCTGTCCACCCTGTAGGCCTTCTCTGGATCTTTTGATAGGCTACGGATGCTGTTGGACCACAGGGCTAGCCATCAGCCCTTTGTCCTCTTTACACTCTGCATCTATCTGATAGCCTTAGTTGCACTTATCTTATGTAGTACTTCATTGGTGATGTGTTGCAGTTAGCTCATACCCACTCTTTACCTTTCCATTGCCCTTTGGAGGACTCACCGTTTTTATTTTTTGTAGCCCTTTCTAATTCTAAAGAGAGGAAATTGAAATTTTCATAACATTAGTCTGTTCTCTGTTATAATCTATTTTATAAAAATGTTCAAGAGAGTTTATATGTTGACTTAAATTGTACGTTTATTATCTCATAATGATATTAGATCTTTAACATCTAAATTTGCAAATTCCCTTTTCTATCTTCAAAAATCACCTTAACAGAAAATCTGACTTAAAGTTCAGTCCAGAACTAAGGACTATCCCAACTGGGTGTCGTGAAAGACAAACAAGTTTTTTGTTGGGAGAATTTGGACCCCTTTGTTAGAAGAAGGTTTTGTACGGTGAGTTTAAGTCAAATTGCCTTCTTAGATCAGTAATAGCTTGGACTAGAAGTTGCTCCTTTTCTGCTGTTCCCTTTGATATATGCTCCCAAGGCTACCAGGAGGAGGCAGGCCCCTTTAAGAGGCAAGAAGGCTTCCTGAATAGCTGGGGAGACCTTCCAAAATCACTGAGACTTTACTGGAGCATGAGGAAAAAAGGTAAGTCTTATTTTTGTCTCTGGCGGCTCAGAGCTGCCACGTGGCAAGATTCCCTTTCCTCAGCTTCCAGCTGCTAGGTGCCCTGGCTTGTCTTGAGGAATATCTCTATATTTCCTATCCCCAAAGAACAGGAAGGGAACAAAGAGTGTCCCCTAGTCCAAGTCCCTAACTTTACAGGCCCAAGGTTAGTTGTCACACAACCAGTTAATGGCAGAGTGAAGGCCAGAACCTAGTCAGTCAGTAAGCAGTTGATTAATGCCTTCCATGTGTCAGGCACAGGACTGGTCTCCCCAAATTATCTGATTCTGGATGCAGCAACTGGGGCAATGGCCTAGAGGCACAGGGAATTTTTTATAACAGTAATCCTCACTGTGGGCAATTAGGGCTTTGACTGCATGATTAAAACAGAAAAAAAAGATTAAGTATTCACCAGGTAAGTAGTCGTTTGTAATGAAAAAGAAAGTGTAGTGTAATATGTATATCTTACAGTTTTCTTATTTCACCATCCTCAATATAGCATTCATTAAGCATTTACTGTGTACCAGACTTTCATAGTCCAATGGACTTAATTACCCATGTATGTGTATAGTACTTTTCCAAGTAGTTTTTCAGTGACGATGATAAGCCTTCACTGAGTTGGGCTAACTGGGTGTATATATGCAGGAAATCTTACATAGAGCTTGATTGTCTGATTGAGAGATTACCTATAGGCCACCCTTCCTTTTTGTCTTTCCTCCATTAAGCTACTTACCTTTTTCTTAGGTATTGTACAGTTTACTACTTTACTATTTACTATTCTTGTACCAGGGAATAGGGAGACAGTATGTAGACCACTAGAATAGACTTCAGGAGACCAGCACTGTGGCTGACCCATAGTAGGCACTTAACCAACTGCTTTTTGCCTGACTGATGAACTTCTGGTCTTCGCTTTGCATTAACTGCTTGTGTGACTGAGAGCCAGTCACTTCACCAATCATGGGCTTTGATTTCCTCACCTGTAAAATTAGGGGCTCAGACTAGGGGATATTTTAAGATCCTTTCCAGTTCTAATACTCTGTGACTAAGTTTTGTTGTTGCTTTTTTTTCCCTTTTTTTTTTTTTGGCTAGGCGCTGGGGTTAAGTGACTTGCCCAGGGTCACACAGCTAGTAAGTGTTATGTGTCTGAGGCCGAATTTGAACTCAGGTCCTCCTGAATCCAGGCTGGGTGCTCTGTCCACCGCGCCACCTAGCTGCCTCTCTGTGACTAAGTTTTAAAATTTTTTCTATGAATTCATTTAACAAGGCTGTTTCTATTCCTTGCTTGATATGTCAGCAGTAATTGTACCAGGCTTTTTTTTTTTAAAGCAGTTAGACTGAACTTCCTCCAAACCACTCCCACTTCCCAACTTCTCTGTTTTCTTCTGTGGTACCAATATTTTTCAGTGTTTATGTTCTCCCCAGCTTTTATTCTCTCAACAGTCACCAGGTCTTTGAAGATATTTTATACCAGTCTCTCATCTACATTCCTGAGGCATCACCCGAGTCTAAGTTCTCATCATCTAATTCAACATACTCCTTATTCATCCTTTGAACAGAATTTTAGTGCCGGTTCAACTGCTTTTTTCCCCCCTGTCTTTTCTTTCTCTTCTTTGGGGAAGCAGTGTGGCAAAATGAAAAGAATGCTAGATGTGGAGTTGGCAGACCTGGAGTCCGATCTCCCTTTGCTACTACCTGTTTAAAACCATGTGTTAGTCACTTCTCAGAAAGATTTTAAATATTGAAGAAAATGCTAGGCTTCAGTTAGAGGTCAGTGAAAATAAAGATTAATTTTTTTCCCCATCCAATTTACAGACACCACAACCCTCCTCCTTCAAGACAGTCCAAATAGGAGTGCAGCTGTCATATAGATGGTGAGATACTCTGGATATTCCTGTTTGTGAAGGATGACATATTGGTTGCCTCAAAACCCAGAACTTCACAGAGCTTCCTAAATGAGATCCATAAGTACTCAAGAGGCTGGTCTAACTTGCCACACAGAAAAAATAGTAGTGGATGTTGAATAACTGTTTTCTAGACAGTGTCATACGCAGTATTCTTACAGGCATTCCATATGGCTGGAATACCACCATCTTCAAAGAATTATAGTTAGAGGTTACTCAGAGTCTGATGGTGAGGTGCTTGGTGGCCATTAGTAGCTTTTTGGAATATTGTATTCCAAGAGCTTTTCTCTTAGAGGAGAAGCTGACAGGTTTAGTATGATTCTGATTGTTGCTCCTTGGTACTCTTTCTTTTTGATTGATTGGGTTACCTTTATCTTTTATCTCTAGGACTTTTCCTTTTGGATTTTTTTCAGGAAGAGATAGATCAGTGAATTCTTTCTCTTTTCTCTTTATCCACTGGTTTAACTAGATCTGGGAAGTTTTCATTTACAATTTACGTTTTTAAATTAAATTTCATTTTTCTTTATCAAGCATTTATTTTTTCTGCCTTCCATCCTTCCCCTTTTCCCCCCATAGTGGTGGAGAGGAGAAAAAGAAAAGCCTTATAACAAGTAAATATTGTCAAAACAAATTCCCGTAATGGCCATGTCCAAAAACGCATGATTAGTCCTGAATGTGTGATTAGTCCATTATCTCTGTCAGGGGTTGAATAGCATTCTTTATCATCAGTGTTGATCAGAGTTCTAATGGGTCTCAAAATTGTTGGTTTTTACAGTGTTGAGATTATAATATATATTGTTCTGCTTCTGCTCGCTTCACTCTGCCTCAGTCCATATAAATCCTCCCAGATTTTTCTGAAACTGTCTCTATCTTCATTTCTTATAGCATAATGGTATTTCATTACCTTCCTGTGCCATAATTTGTTCAAGCATTCTCCAATTTATGGGGACTCTCTTTTGTCACAGAAAAAGAGCTGTAGATTGCTTTACAAATATCTCATTTGATCCGTATAGAACCTCTTCAGTCTCCTCAGAGATAGGCCTAATAGTGGTTTTGCTGGGTCAAAGGGTATACAATTTAGTAATTTTGGAGGCACATTTCCAAATTTCTATAATGGTTAGACCATTTCACAACGCCAATAGGACATTGTTGTGACTGTTTTCCCACAGCTCCTCCAGTATTTGTCATTTTCCCTTTGAGTTTCTGTTTATACTAGTTGTGGAGTTATTCCCTCCATCTAGGTTGGATTTTTGGGTATCTTTGCATTTTTTCCTCACACGCGATATTGTTTCTTAGTTTCATACCTTTTCATTGACTATCCCCAATGCCCGGAATATTCTCCCTTCCTTACTCTCACCTATGGCTTCTTTGGCTTCCTTAAGGACTCGGCTGAAATATCATCTTCTACAGGAAGCCTTTCCCAGTCTCCTGTCCACCACTAGTAACTTTTCTCTAAGATTGCTTCTTGTTTCCGCACACATACGTGCACACGCGCACACACGTACGCGCGCAGTTAAAATTCCACACACATACTTCCCTGTTAGAATGTGAGCTTCTTGCAGGCAGGACCATATTTTTGCCTGTCTTTGTATCCCCAGTGCTTAGCA